CACCAATTGTAGCTTAGTGTGCATCCTACATTACACAAGGTACAGGTAAGGCTGACAGGAATGTCATCTGATTTTCAGGGGGTTTTTTTGACCTGATGTTGGCCCTAGAAAAGTTAAGGAATCCGAGAGTGACCCACGTCGCAGTTCATTTTTAAAGCTATTACACTTAATTTCTTTTCAGCCTAGAAGGTCTAGTGAAACTCAAAACAGAAACCATAAGCTGCTTCCAGCCATTCTTTGCCCCTCACACTGCACTCTATTTCAAAGCCATTACATAAACTATGGATGCCTGGTGGAGACAAACTAACAAAATTCTGTTCACAGCTTACATGTAAATTTGTCCAGTACAACACTCTGCTAATGTGACACTAAGTACTAATGTTACAAAAAGCTTGAATGACTTCCAAATTAAAATTATTTCAATACAAAAGGTTAAATCATGCCCATGCTAGGTCACTAATAGTACCAAAACAAGCTCATTTGCTTCAGATGCTAACACATCCAGAAGGAAGAATGCCACATCTGAATCAAATTTGAGTCCTTTGGCTGGTTTTAACACTGTCCATCTCAGCTCCTCCATGATTGGCAGTTTGAAATGACTGTTCATAGTTTGAAAAATACTTCTTGTGGGCTAACCTTGACTAGGTGGCAGATAAGGCTAATTTACAGACCACACTTTGACAACACAGGGTAGAGTAGGCTGGGATAAGAAAAGAAGGGATGTAGGCAAAAGATTGTAGTGAAGGGGGTAGTATAGGTGACAAACAACACGTCCTGTCCCATTTTCACTTACTTATCAGACGATGTGTAAAATATTATTTAATGCACCAATGTACTTATCACTATTTTCCATTTATTTAGCGGACTGCAGATTTTCATATAGGTTTCATGAATGTACCAAAGGAAAGTGTCACTCTGATGTTTCTGGCATCATTGAATTTTATTTGTGTTGACCATTGCTGACAGTTGCTCATAAAGTAAGAAAAGCAATTACAGACAATAAGTAGAGCATTTGTCAGTTTCTCTCTGATCTTGCATTATGTCATCCTGCATTAACAATACTGTGAAAAGGCTCCGTTTCCCATACTGTTGTTTAACTTTGGTTAAGCACTGATCTCCGTCAGTGAGATGGAGATCAGAACAGCTGCAGTATTTCTGTGTTCAGGCTGCAGGAAACAGCCTGTGACAGTGTGATTTCATCCGTACAGTCTTGACCTCTGAGTCTGGGTTTTGTCACAGTCGACATACTGGATGTTCATACAGTCAGTGGGTCAACTTCTCTCAAAGACATTCACTTTATAACAGAGAAAAACAAACAAAAACAACTCAATTTTACATTGCAAGAGTGCATAATTCAGTTCAGTTCAATTTGTATAGCACCATATAGCAACCTTACTATTATTATCGAGGAAAAATCCAGCATAATGCATATTTACACAGGCTTTTATATACTGTACAGCTGCACCGATTAGTCAATTAATCATTTGGGGTTTTTTTGTTTGTTTGTTTGGTTTTTTTTAACATGTCTAAACTGCAATGCAAACTTTCTCTAATTCCAGCTTCTCTCATGAAACTTTTAAAGCTTTTCTTTGTCTCATACAACACTAAACTGAATATCTAACTGTCTGACTCTGGGGAAAAAACAATGGGCTGTTTTCACTATTTTCTTACATCACATAACTGTTAATCAGTGAGTATAAAAAATAAAGAAAAAATTAATTGATAACAAAAGTAACGGCTAGTTGCAGCCTTATTATTAATAACTTTCATAATTATGTGTATATTTTACAATGAAATAGATAACTATAAAAGAGAAAAGAGTAGAGTAGGTACTTTATTGATCCCACAGTGGGGAAATTTCTGAAAAGAACAATAATAACAGATAAAACACAAATGGAAAGTTTCTCTATTTATATGCTTCACACTAGATCTGCCTTCCCCTAATTATAAATTCCTCTCCATTATGTAGTAGTGGGTGTCATATTTAAATTTCCTCCACTGTCTTACTTTATGATTCTATCCAACATTATTTCTAAAATTTTGCTTATGTTTTACTTTTAACAGGTTATATTTGGTTTCTGGTTGTAATTATAAGTACCCTATACAGATATCTGCGTATTTTTTGAGTAAGCTCAAATGGTGATATACCTAATATTTTTGGTTCAAGTATATTTTTAAAGTATTTTCTCTATATAGACTAAATTTGAGCCCCAAAATATTTTAGTGTTTAAAGCAAAAAAAAAGACCTGCAAGTGACCTATATGCTCTTCTCCATCAGTCTGCTTTAGTTACAAATTTAATTACTACATGTTTATATAGTAATTATATAACTACTATTATCTGTTTGCTTACTATATGTAATGATCTGAATGTTTCCACTACAATTGGCTCCACCACCAGGTTTCATGCTATTTATACCTGAAACATCTATTCTACATTATTTCACAAGGAAACTGTGAAAAACATTTTCATCTCCCTTATTTTTTTACATTAAGGGGAAAAAAAGACGTGAGATTTGATCATTTGCATAATCAATTCCCCATAAATGCTGGTGCTGCTGTATATTAGACACCAACACACTAAGATTATCTGGGTCAAAATAACCCATAGGTTGTGAGTAAAGTTGACCCAGTATTGCTCTGGTGTGATATTGTCCCAAACCGGGTTAATTTTAAGTCTATAAATTAACTTGTGTACTTATATAATTTTGAATGGACTACTGAACAATCACAGGGGTCCAAGGAAATAAGGCAGTGTTTGTATGAAGTGCTGTTAACATTTCTTATTGGAAAGTCAAACAACTACAAGAGACAAAATGAGTAAAAAATAAATAAAAACAAACACAAAATACATCCACAAAGAATGGGCACAAGGACATGCAAAATGACTAGAAGAGACCTAGAGCAAGTACACAGACATAAATCAAGTATGGCAAGACACAAAATAGTTACAAGGACATGCAAAACAACCTCAAAGGAAAGAAGAACTAATAAAACATAGACCAAATAACCACAAAGAGACATAGTGACTAAAAACAGAGGGAAATAGCTAAAGAGAAATTAAAAACAACTGAAAAGAGAAACAGACTGCAAAGAGATGCAAAAGAAGTAAAAAGAAATGCAAAATGGCAACAACTAAATTAAAAAACTAAACAGACACAGAACTTGAAAATGAAACAAAAACTAAATATTGGTGTAAAACAACCTCAGAGACGCAAAACAACCAAAAAGAGAAAACTACTACAAAAAGTCTAATCTTTCAGTCTAGGGGTCTTTAACGGGTTTGTGCCCAGGGACTCGTTGCCTCATAATCAGTCCATGTACGCCATATACTTCAACTCATGCACACTACCTTTCAAAGGTTTTAGATCACCTCCATTTTTCAGTTGTTGTTGGTGTAATTCGATATGCTATGTCATTCTTTCTTCAATTGAAATCAAATGTTGTTGAGATAGTTTGCACTGTGGCAGATGTTGATAAGATGAAACTGAAAAGTTCTGACTTCCTTTGACAATTGACTTTTTTTCAAACTAATGCTTCAGAGGCTGCACCAACACAGTCTTTTCCAACTCTGACTTTGTACAGATAGAATTTATTATTGCAAGTCATCAATAAAAGTTGTGACACCTGTAGGGATTGTTTGCATCAGTTTTTAAGGATTAATTTTCTTCTAATGCTGCAGAAATGATGCAAGTCCATGAAACTGTCTCTTTTTTACATTACATTTAGACACACTTTTAGTTTTTGGTGACTTTTTTGTTTGTTTATTTTACCTCTGACAGTTTACATCTTAACTTTGTACTATTTAAAGTTATTCACTGGACCTGAGCTGTTAAAACGTCTAAATAAAAAATGGAGGCAACCCCAAACCATTGAACAATACCACTGGTTCATCTGAACTATGGTATACTGCAGCAATACACTGCTATGGTCATCACAAGTATTGTAACTCAATCTGTAATGTAATTGCTGCTGTTAAATAAATTTAAGGTAAGAAAAATGTGCAGTATTTCCCTCTGAATTATACTGGAGTATAGGTATGAAATCACATGAAATGGAAACACCCCAGGTAAAGTACATGTACCTCAAAGCTGTACTTATTGTAAGTATATACAAGTATAGTACTTGAGTCAATGTATGCAGTTACTTTACACCACTGTCCAGATTAACCAGTTCTGCTGAAGCAACTTAATGGTTCATTTTTTAGGAGCCCAACAACTTGTTTGTCAATACAAAACAACAGTATACACACACAGGTGAAGGAAAATAACTATGCTTATGTACAAATTTTATATTTCTACTGCACAACATTTCAGAGGAATGTACTTTTTGCTCCTCAAATTTAGTTTAAAACTTTACTTACAAGTTACTTTGTAGATCCAGATCATTAAAACAATATATAACCACATTTGCAACAAATAAACTATGGTACAGTTATTACTATAGGTAAAACATCTTAACAAGTAAAAGTAGTTAAAATTAGCCATCTGCAACTTTAAATTGAAGTATATATTAATACATCAATGACTAATAATATAATACAATTATGTATTATAAAATGGGCCACTCTGCATAATGAGTAGACAGTTTTTAGATGCCAATTCTTTTCATTTGAATGCAGAACTTTATCTTGCAAAACGTGTCATTACCCTGTGGTACTGGTACTTTTACTAAAGTGAAACATCTGAGTACTTCCATCAGTCTCTCTCTCTCTCTCTCTCTCTCTCTCTCACTCTCACTCTCTCTCACACACACACACACTGTAATGAACTCATATTCCGTTGATGCTGATCTGAATGTGTCACTTTAACTTTGCATTACGAACATCATCCAATAACTCTTAAATTCTTATTTAAACAATTAGCCCCGTTCCTAAAAAAACATCATGTAATATAAAAATCTCCGTTTCTGTTTTTAGCTCTGACAAACGTGTTTATCCTGTTCAGTTGGTCCTGCTATGTTTGACACGAAGGACAGGAGCATTCGTGGTAAAATTCCAAACTTCAGAAGTACTACCACCTTCAGCGGTACAATCAGCAGTGTTATTATGAATAGTGTGAGCAGTTCGGTAACTCACCGTCATGTTTCTCCGCAGTCTGCGTCTCAATTGCCAAACTGTTACATTTATC